CTTACCCAAGGTCCCAGGAGGTGAATGGAGGAGAAGGGATTGTGACGTGACCATCCCCCCAGGGGGTGATTTCTCGCTTTCTGTCTCTCTGTCTCTCTCTCTGTCCATCTGGCGAGCGCACGCGCCCTATAGCAAAAACCTCTCCAAAAAAAAAAAAGAATTGTTTTATTTACCTTTATTCATTTATGTATTTATTTTCATTCAACAAGGGAGACAAAGATAGAGATAGAGAAAATGAGAAAGCAAACCACCAGGTCTAATACTCAAACTGCGGTCAGCCACATGGGAGTCTAGTGCCCTTAACCACCACGCCACCTGTCAGCCCTCAAGAATGGAATGTTTTGGGGACCAGCAGTTAGCGTAATGGCTATGTCGCTGGACTCCCATGTAGTCGACTGCGGTTCGAGTCCCAGACTCGGTGGCTTAAATTCACGCTGAGCACGTATGCGTGCATGCCCAAGATCCCAAGAGGAGAATGGAGGAGAAGGGATTGCGGCCTGGCCATCCCCCTGGGGGTGATTTCTCGCTTTCTGTCTCTGTCTCTGTCTGTCTGGTGAGCGCACATGCCCTATAGCACACAAAAAAAAACTCTCAAAAAAAAAAAAAAAAAAGAATGGAATTTTTTTAAAAAAAATAACAGTATGAGGAACCAGAATATGGCATAATGGTTAAGTCACTGGACTCCCACATAGTTTACTGCAGTTCAAATCCCAGACTCAGAGACTTAAAACTCACGCTGGGCATGTGTGTAAGCATGTGTGCCCAAAGTCCCAAGAGAAGAATGGAGGAGAGAGGAGTGCAGCATGGTAATTCTCCCAGGGGGTGATTTCTGCCTTTCTATCTCTGTCTCTCTGGCAAGCGCATGTGCCCTAGAGCAAAAATCTCTATATAAAAATAAATAACAAAAATATAACAAAAAATGCAGTAGTAAATGAAAATTTTACCATATAGATTTAGTGAAAGATTGGAAATAGCACATTTATAGAGTATGTTCTCTTATCCCAACAGAATAAAATTAAAACATACTTAGATAAAATAAAAACACATCTAGCAAGTCCCCTTTTCTAAATCTCCCATCTAAATGAATGTCTTTTCCTACATTTTCTGCCAACAGGGTGCTGCTTTTTAATCTGCACAAAAATACGGTATAAGATAGGAATATTAATTAAAACAAGCAAATTAATACCACTTCTTAATTATTCTTACTAACAAATAAAAAAATAAATTCAAACTTAATCTGATAAATATTCTAAATATTTCCTTGAAATCATTAGTTTTTTGCTATAGGGCACGTGACTCGCCAGAAAGAGAGACAGAAAGCGAGAAATCACTCCCCAGTGGGGATGGCCACACTACAATCCCTTCTCCTCCATTCTCCTCTCAGGATCTTGGGCACGCACATGCGCCCGGCATGAGTTTAAGCCACCAGGTCCAGGACTCCAACTGTGGTTAACTACATGGGAGTCCAGCGACATAGCCATTATGCCAGCTGCTGGCCCAAGATAAAAATCTTAAGTGAATATGGCAAAAATATCTTTATATACTAGAATGGTAGGTATATAATGTGTTTTGTTTCATTTTTAGTTTTTTAGTTTGCTAAACAGTGCATGCACTTGGGTTGGGAGAAGCACACATGTGTACCAAAGAGTGAAAAGACATTCTGCATGGGGGATATGACACCGCACTCCTTCTACTCCATTTCTCCATTTGGGATTGTGGGCACACACACACACAAAACCAGCATATTTCTCAGGCTGCCAGGTCCAGGATTCTCTAGGTGCAACTGGTCATGTGGAATCCAGTCTCTTTAACCATGTAGCATGCATGCCCCAAATCCCAATAAGATGTAGAGATGGAGGAGAAGAGTTCACAATGTGACCACACCACACTGGAAGATGTTCTCTCCCTCCGTCACTTCTTCCCTCCCTCATGCATGTGCCCTACAGCAAAAGCTAAAAAAAGTCTTAATCTAAGCTAAAATTTTGTTCTGTATCAATGAATATAGGAAAGAGCTCACCAATCTTTTTTTGTATTTCCTTCTAAAAATTAAAATTATATAAGCAATTAGTAACAATAACAATCAAACCTAGGCTAGCCCCCAAGAGACTTCCTAATAAGGATGATTCAGTAGTGAAAATGCTAAAGAATTCATATTAAAGGGGCTAGCGGGTGGTATGATGGTTTAGGTGCTGGACTCCCACATGGCAAAACAAGTTTTGAGTCCTGGACCTGGGGGCTTGACTTTCTCACTTTCCCTCTCTTTCTCTCCTTCTCTCTGGTCAAATAAAAATAATAAAAATAATGAATAAAATTAAATAAAAATACTAATCTTAAAAAGAATTCATATTAAGAAAATTACAGGGGCCAGCAGGTGGCATGGTGGTTAGGGCAACTGACTCCCACATGTCCAATGACGGTTTTGAGTACCAGACCCAGTAGCTTGACAATCACACAGAGCCACTGCGTGTGTATGCCCAAAACCGTAAGAGGAGAAGGGATTGCAGCACGGCAATCCACCATTGGAGAATTTTCACTTTCCCTCTCACTGTCTCTCTCTGGAGCACATTCACCCTATGACAAAAATCTTAAAAAAAAAAAATTACAACAGACCATTATAATTAAACATATTTTCACATTTTACAGTCTATTGAATTCACTTAAAGATTATCATTGTTGGGACCAGCAAATGGCATAATGGTTATGTCGCTGGACTCTCACTCAGTTGAACGCAGTTCAAGTCCCAGATCTGGCAGCCTGAAACATGCCGAACACGTGTGCATGTGTGCCCAAAATCCCAAGAGGAGACTGGAGGAGAAGGAAATGCATCATGGCCATTCCCCCAGGATGGCAGTGATTTCTCACTTTCTGTCCCTCTCTGTCTCTCTGGCGAGGGCACACACCCTACTACAAAAAATCTCTTAAAAAAAAAATTATCAGTGTGCAAATCTTTCCTAGCAGACCAAATAAATCCTGCTTGAATTTTATTTCTGCTTATCACACATATCATACACAAATAATAATAATGATATGATAGCCAATATACATTGACTACTATGTGACAGAAATTCTAATAAATGCTTCCAATTAAAAGATATTTTATATACATTATTAAATCCTCAAAAACAGTAACACAGGCAACACTATGTTTACTATTGTACAAATAAGAATGAAGTGCAAAGAGATAGTCATTTGCCTAGCCATAGGGTTGCAAAAGTAAAGAATTTGAAATCAGGCTGATTCCAAAGCTTTTTTTCTTAGCCAGTACACTACAGCCTCCTAATCCTTTTGTTCCTATTTCAAGTCAAAAAAGGACCGTAAAGTGTTGCCTATAACAGGTTAGGAAATTAACCAAAGTAACTACAGCAGCAGAATGAATTAGGTAATTCTCAACTCTTAGTCCTTAAGAAAAAGGACTAAGGATACAACAGAAACAATTTCCAATTGAAATAACTATTTTATAATTGTCTAATAAAAGTGACATTTATTTTTCTGAAATCTCATAATCATCCCTGATTGACTAACTTCTGCTAGGCCAAAAAAATTACATTAGTATCCTTCTAGTAAATTACATTTGGTTTCCTTCCAAAAAAGCAAACTCCCTTTCCTTTAGCACTAACTATACCAAACTGATACAGGGAAATGTTAATAACTTGAACAAAATCTAAAAATCTAAGAGTCTATCTATAGTGTTTGCCTTATTTCCCTTTGCCATGAGTTCCACTTGATTATTTTACTTTATTTTTAATCTTAAACCATTCAATCACAGCTCTGTGCACTTCTCTGCTGGGTAAAGCAAAGGAAAATAAAGATTAATAAGAAACAGGGACCAATTAAGTGGGCTAATGATAATTATTAAGTACAGCTACTCATGCAACTTATGCTTAAACTAAACATTGTCTATCACACTGTAAATTATCCATTATTTTTTATCTCTGAGAAACTACAGGAATGCAAGGGAACTTCAGTTCATGGAAAAAATGGAATAAAAGTACAAGTTTATTATGGTCCAAAAAAAGAGATACATTTGCAAGGTTTTATTTTCCCCCCACAATAGCTGTTTTCCATTAACTTTTTGAAGACCCTTCACATTTATATGGCATCTTTCATCTCAAAGCATTTTAGAGAACCACTTTTACTGAACTACATTTGACCATGAAAATCTGGCATGAAACTCTTTAACCAATTCCTGCACTTATTCTTCAAAACACACAAATTCAGTCTCCCACTTTCATCCTCTCTCCCTCAAAATAGGCATTCTAGAGTCAGACTTCCTAAGTTCCAATTCTAGCAGGGAACACTTAATATGGGGCCTTGAGTTTTGTTTTCTTACCTGTGAAATGGAAACAATAACAGTACCTACTCTGTGGGGCTGCTGTGGGAATGAAGTGAGCTACTTTAAGTGAGATAACTACTCAAGCACAGGGCATGGCACAGTGCACTCAGTAAATGCCAGCCATTATTTTATATCCAAAATTAACTGCACAGAATCTGAATTTTCTTCCTCTTAGTGATGGGGATCTAAACGAATTCCATCAAAATAAGTGAGCATACCCACGAGGTTTTCAAATTAACTCATGATAAACAGCAGCAGTATTCATTCATGGAAATTTCAACTTCATAGGGCTTCTGCTGTTTTCAATAAAATTATTTCATATCCAATTAAAGAAACACTCCAATCCTTCACACTTTTAGCCAAATAAGTCTGGAGCCTAGATGACAACACAAACTCTGGAAATAGTCGGGATCTGCACTGGCTCTAAGAGGGGCGAACTTGACAATTTCTGGGTACCACACTGGAAACCCACAGTTCAAAACAGGCCAGATCCGCTCAGGACAAGCAGCTACCGTCGATTTAAAATACTTCCTTTCCAACATTTTCCTCCCCAGTGTTGAAACTAACGCCGCCTTTCACAGCCCCGACCCAAGGCCAAGAATCTCCCTGCTCTCTCCTCCCACCCTGATCGTCACTCCCCCATGGAATCCACTGTCGACCGACTCACAGAGTGTGTCCGCACACATTCACCATCAGCTTCAAGGACGGGTTCCGGTATTTGGTAGTCTTACATCGGGGACAGCCCTGATCGTCCATGGCGCTTTATCGCCTACCGACTCTCCCCGACGCCTGCTTCGGCTGCAGCCACAGCCACCGACAAACCCCCTCAGACCTGACGCCAAGCAGGATCCTACCAACAGGCACTTGGCAGGAACGGTCCATTCGCGAAAGAGCACCGACTGGAGTTGAGGCACCACAACACAAACGTTCCGCCACCGAGTTCTCTGTTCCTGCTCCTGGAGGTGGATCAGATATAAGACACTATACCTTGGATTTTGGGGGAAAGTGGAGTGAGTGACTTTTCAAAAGGGAAATTATATAAATTATATGAAAAGTACTATCTCTACTCACTTAGTTGCATTTTTCAAGGTACCGTGTCACAATTAGGAAGATAAATTCTCACTAAATGTTAGAATAGTGCTATGACTAATATCTGGCATGTTTTGAAGGCAACCACTTCCCTCATAACTGTACAGTATACGTAATAGTGTCACGTGTCTCTAGTATCTTTATACCCCCACCCATAATACATATATTATCCTAAATATTGAAGTACGTAAGTATACATACAACTTTATTTCAGCAATCTTAAGACCTGACAGCCTGAATCCCTTTGTAAATCGCAAGCCACATTCATTGCACATATCCAGAATGCAAAATGAAGTCTGTAAAAAACAGTGCTATTAGATAATAAACCCCTCCTACTGTAAGGATCACATGTTATTCATCTTCAACATAAGGACTTGTTGATAATGAATAAAAAAAGAATTAACCAACGACCATCAAATAATGTAAAGTGAAAAGTTTTAATGACACGTATGTTTTTGGAATCACTTTTATCTAACCCAAACTCTGTCAGAGGAAGTGAGCATGCAAACAAGGTTCTTCAAATCAACCCATACAATGAATACCAACTCATGGTAATTTTGTTTTTAATAGTTATCATATTTAACTTTATTTATTGATGTATTTGGGTTGTTTTTGTTTGTTTTAATTTGACCAGAGAGGGACAGAGTGAGAGAGAGCGAGAGCAAGGTGCCAGGTACAGGACTCTAATCGTAGTCAGCCATATGGGAGCTCAGCGGCATTAATCATCACGCCACCTGCCGGCCCCACTCATTAATGTTTAACTCTTTTTTTTTTTTTTTTGGAGAGGTTTATGCTATAGGGCTTGTGTGCTCGCCAGAAAGACAGAGAGAAACTGAGAGACATAAAGCGAGAAATCACCCCTCCAGGGGGGATGGCCATGCCGCAATCCCTTCTCCATTATTCTCACGGGATCTTGGGCACACACACACACACACAGGAACCTGGCATGAATTTAAGCCACCGGGTCTGGGACTCGAACCACAGTCGACTACATGGGAGTCCAGCGACATAGCCATTATGCTAACTGCTGGTCCCTCAGTAATGTTTAACTCTTCATAGAACTTTTGTACTTTTCAATAAACACATAAAAGAATATTCCAACTCTACTTTTTTAAACAGTGAACCCAACAGGCAACCCAATAGCCTAAAAATACAGTTGGAATTTCCATTGTTTATAGAGAGGGAAGTTGATAAACAATTAGATACCTTATCTGAAAACCAGCAGACCAAAGCAAACCACAGAAACACAGGAGTTTATATTAGTGTAGTGATGTCAACCATTTACCTAATAAATAAGCCATATAACATCCTTGGTCATAAATAGGATTATAATGATTTAATCATTATGTATTATAATATATGATTATATCATTATATATTATAATGTATAATAATTATATAAAATATAATTTTATATTATAATGTATGAATATATAACATATAATGATATAATAATATATTATATAATGATATATTATAATCATTATATTATATATATTATAATACATAATGATTATAATATCATTCATTAATAGAATTTAAACTAATGTAAATTTATTCCTTAGTTTTCTTACTTAGGCAACACCAAATACTGTACTGACCTGAAGTCTTATTATATTGCTATCATCTTTTTTTTTCCTTGAGAGAGCAATACTGAGAGAAAGAGACAAAGAGAGAAGCAGGCACCCCCTACAAGGTATTCACACACCAGTCTCCAGCCTCAGCCACCCCAGATCATAGATACATGCACAGTATGCACAAGTAAACCTCAGGACTCAAACCCAGGACCCTCCCAGCATCTGAGAGCATTGTGTAACTGCTGCACCTCTGCCACCATGGCTGGCTGCTATTATCTCATTGAAAGAGACCACATGATTACATGATTCAGAGCAAAACTCACTAAAAATAAAAGCAACTTTCAGATCTTCACGTATTAACAGAACAGAAAATTTCTGGTAAAGAATGAATCTCGTCTATGAGCAAATAAAATGTTTAGCTAATACCACATGGAGAAGTCATCCATTCAATTAGCAGTATTGTTGTTATTACCAGGACAGTTTTAATGTCTTTGAAGAGGAGATTCCCAACCACATGTGAAGTGACTTGTTTTTCCTTTCTCCCAAAAAGTAAGATCAAGGCAAATAAAGATAGCACTGAAAATTTGTGGGAGGAAACATTGCTACAAGCTTTTTAATTTTCTTGATGGGAAACTACTAACAGGGAAACATGGTAGCAAAAGCTGACTTGGAACTCTATCAGATAAGCTTTAAGAGCGAAGCTAAAATCAGTATAAAATAGTGCTTATAGATTTGGTCTCTGGAGCCAAAGGGCTGAATTAAAGAGCTAGCTTCATCATTTACTGGTTATATGACCTTGAGTTTTCTCAGCCTTAAGTTGAGAATAATACATCTAAAGGCTAAATAAGATAGTTCATTTACAATGTTTAATACAGTATCTAGCACAGGATAAGAGTTCAATAACTGTTGGCCATTATTAATAGTAGCACTAATAGTATTAGCAGTAATAGCATCTAAAAGAGGCAATGTAACGTAATAGGAAAAGTCTGATCTTTTAAATCAGACAGACCCGATTTAAGCCTTGCCTCAGTTTCCTTCCTCCATATAATATACTTCATGGAGTTGCCATAATGATTAAATTACATGGCATGGACATTTATGACAGGCCCAGTACAATGCTTGTACATAATAGAAACTCTGAAATGTACATCCGTACCAGGGGTGGGGCTCAGTAGCATAGGATGGCCAGAGAGCTTTGAGCAGGAAAGCACGGATTCAAGTAAAACTTTAGCCTATGTAGAAAACCAGCAAACTATCGAGCTTCCTACATTTCTGAAAAGCAGCCCTATCCCAATAGCGGACCAAGTGGGCCTAATTTTTCTCTCTAAATCTGCTCATTGTCTAGCACTCCTGCCTCAGTTATCAGTAGATTCTGTATTCCTGGAGCAGTTTTTCTCAAATGCAGATTTTCTTTTCCACTCCACAGATATGGACCCAAGTTGGATTTTTCTCATCTAAAGGGGGCATGTATTCTTTTGACCCTTTACAAGGAATAGCATCTCTCCCCCATTCTCATGGAAAATAGTCCCTCCCCTACACACCTATATAGTTCTACTGGACCTTCCAATCACAATGCTGGCACTCTGGCCCAGAGGCTGGAATACAACCATTATTAGATCAAACAAATATCATCCCTAGAATATGTCTTTCAAATTGTCAAGAAGAGGGACCAATGCGTAGCATTGGTTAAGGTGCTGGACTCTCACATGGTCGACCACAGTGCCAGTCATAGCAGCCCGCGTTCTTTGTCTCTTTCTTTCTCTCTCTCTCTCTCTCTCTCTCTCTCTCTCTCTCTCTGGTGAGTGTATGTGCCCTATAGAAAAAATTTTAAAGTAATAATAAATACAATTAAATAAATAATTATTTTTTAATTGGCAAGAAAGGGAAAAAGCAGAAGAGCCTCTTTGATAATACTAGAAAATATGAACAACTGGGAGCTCCTGGAAGCCACTGTTCCAACCTTCTGGGAAAAGCTCTTTTGAAAATTAACTCAATGAGAAAGGTAGAGGCAAGTGAAATGGAACAACAGGTCTTCAAGCCAGCTGCACTCCTGCTCTCCACATTGTTGGGTATCATGATCCAGTAAGTTCATCAGCTAGCCTAGGCCAGTTCAAATGGGGTTTCTAGATTCTGAAAAATCCGTATAGATGCTGCTATGTCGGGGAGATGACTAAAACCTGGCATCCAATCAGCCTCTACTAGAATATCTTCCCTCCACCATTGCCTACATAACTCACGAAGTCACCCTTTTTCTCATCAGTGTCTGACACAGGGAGATGATGTGGGCACTGAGAACTCCCTCCCTCCACCCTTGCCCACGTAAGTCACTAAGCCACCCTTTCTCTGCTCATCAGTGTCTGACTCAGGGAGATGACGTGGGCACTGAGAACTCCCAGCCATTACATCCAAGGCTCTTCCACCAATCTTAATTCTTCTAGTACAACTTTGAAGAACCCTAGAAAAGGATTCTAATTGTTTTGGTTGGTACAAGTTCCCAACCTGGATCAATCAATGCTGGCCATGATATGACACAAAAACACAGCCCACTGTACACACCACACCAAACTGAGCACTCATTCAAAGACCTTCATGATTTGTTGCCAACGTGTCTTTTAAGCTAATTTGTATTATGTTTACATAAAACACATACTCCATAAACACTGGATTACTCAGTATTTCAGAAATAAACCTAAAACACCTTGTTGTTTTGATGCCAGGCTTTTCCCATTCTATTTCTTCTGCATCTACTGAACTGCCATTCTTTCTTTCCTTAAAGACCCAGCTAAAACTTCACTCCCCATTGTCCTCTCCTCTCAAAATACACGTCTTCATCCTTACCAGTCGTATATACTGTAATAAACTTATGACTCTGTCTTATCTCCCCCAACTAGAGTTTAAGCTCTTCAGAGTTAGAGACCCAATACATTTCATCTTTTTATCCTTTGGCACCTATTGCAATGCCTTGTACTTAGTCAAGACTCAATGTTTGGCCAATGAATGACTCTTCAGAAATACTCACTACATGTCATCAATTGTCACTAAATATCAATAGATTAGAGATGCCTTTAGAATCTCACTCCTGGCATATTACGAGCACGTAAACTTTCTGAAATAGAAAGAACCTACACAGATACAATGAAATGATCTTCTCTCCCTTTTCCAGAAGCCAAAGTCATCCTTGGAAAAAGAAATCTCTATTCTTGGTGGCAAAACCATCAA